CGAGATAGGTGAAAGTCCTGCCGTTTGAATTGCCACAGCCAATGAACAAGTTTCTGACCCCGCCCATTTTAACGGTTTCAGTTGTCAAAAGAGGGGGTTTTCAACATTCCGGAAAGCTACAAAGCACATATTCAGACTAGCACATCCAGAATGTTCGAGAATGCTCAATATAAGAGGACAAATTTAGAGCCGCCACCCCAAAAGTTCTATTTTTGGCCAAACCTTCAGATTTGGACTCATACTCCTGATTAACTCGTCCCAGCCAATTTCCATGGTATACTCAATCAAGAATGACCCATACATCTCCCAAACTTGTTCTCGTGTCATCTCTGCAGATAGTGAATTTTACATTTGAAATAAAAAATGATCTTTACGTACTTGTCAATATAGCAACGCTATCTACCAGCAGATAAGTGTCAGAGTCGGAATAGTAGTGATTAATGATGTTTTCTTTGCCATTTTCGAATCCAGCTCGATTTCTGCAATATTTAGGTAATTCATGAAAATTGAAAAAATGCGCAAGTGATGGAATGACCCACAGCACTTCCATCCATAGTTCATCACCGTATTTTCGAAGCATAAGCTGTCGAATGCTCTCATGGATGAATCCGAACTAAAAAGAGGTATAAATTTACAAGCTTTCATAAAAATTCAGATATAATAAAATTCTTGCAAATTATCAAAAAATTTAGCAATTTTTTGAACCAGTGTAATTCTATTTATTATTGTATTATGTTGTCGCAAAAAAAGACCACATTTCTTCTGCCTTTCTACCTGTCTCCCTCTGTATTTTTTTCGCAGAATTGAAAGATAAGAATCTAAGTTGCACTGGCGATTAGTTCGACCTTCTCTTTCTGTGCACTAGTTCCTGTCGCTGTTGTATCCTCTGTTTTTTTCCTTTTAACTTTTAGTGAAGTTTTTGAGTTTTATGTCTTATTCTATACTTTTTATCAATTTTCTTCTAACTTCACAAAATTCGTGTTTAAACTTGTGGTTAGGAAATCCTTATGCACTGCAAAATATGCAAGAAGAAAACAGAAACAGTGCATGATGTTGACTAGAGAACGGTTTCCCACTGGAGTACAGAGAAGCCGCCCAACCCCCGCCTCCCGATAGTGAATCAAGAAACTTTTAATAATTACCCAGTTGAGTTGTAAATATGTGCAAGCGGCTGGTTCTTACTTGTAAGTGGAAAATAATTGTTGATATTCTTCTATAAATCGAAAGTAGCTTTATGAAGAGATTTTTTCGGGTGCGTGAACGAGTTTGAAAAGCCCGGAAGTTTTTTGGGAAGGCATATTGAAGCCAGCCCCTTTATTTGAAAAATTCTATTGCGCCACCTTCCTACCCGAATAAAATTTCTCAGAGCGCTAGGTGGCCTACATATGTCCAGAAAATGTCGAGAACTTATGCATTTGCCTCATGCGAATCATATCGAGTTGGTTGAGCGGAAGAAAAGGTGCAAAAAAAGGAAAAGTACAAACGGGGTTCCTTTTGCGACATGTTGATTTACCAAGAAGATAATTTAACTCAACTCTACATACTATGTGACGCTTTGCTTGATATTGTAACACCTAATTCTTGGTTCAAATGGACAAATATAGCCGTTAAAGACAAACTTACCATTGCTGTTGGTTAGGCTAGATCAAATGTTTGAGCCGGGTGGTAAGCTCATGTAGTATTCTCACACGCGATCATACGTTCAGCATAGCTAATTGCAAGTTTACCAGGTGCCAACGATTATCCAGAATATTTCGAAAGAGATGGTAAAGTCAACTTCAGAAAAATAAACATTTTTAGCGAAAAAGAAATTTTCAAACATAGCATACATTGAAGAGGCTGGGCTAGGTATACTAACAATTTACCTTGATGATGTCCACCCTATTTTTTTGTTTTATCATTGTAGGTAGGTAGAACCTGAGTGTAAGAAACCAAATAGATAAATAGATGAGTAAATAGATAGTGGTCCATAATATAGCAAGTTTTTACACATCTGCGCAAGCTTCCGGCTACCCAACCTCTCCTCCTTCTTACTTTTATATTCGTTGTCCATACGGTGATATTCCAATTTTTTTGATTCGTACCCAGATTAACCAATCCTCTCCAGAACGCGGTATGCGACCGCTACGAGGTAACGAAAATCAAACAAACAATCCCCTTTGGTCGGGGATGTTTGCACAGTTTTTCAGTGTCAGCATGCCTGCTCCGCGCGAGCTATCCCACTATATTGTATCTGTTCCTAGCTCTACATTCAGTTGATTCGTGGTCATAATCAGTGATTTTTTTAGAACAATGTTTCGACATGAGTTTGTACAAGTTTGTTTTAGAGTGATGACCGATAGT